TTTTTAGCTTGGACACAAAATCATTGCTGACTTTTAAATACTTTTGTACCAATTAAGTTGTAAGCTGAAATAAAACGTGCAACATCTGTGTAGTCAAAATTGCTTTATTCTTACCTTTTAATTGGCCTGCAGAAGCACAGATGTTAACACAGTGTTGATGACAACCTTTAGACGGAGGAAACAATGCCACCTGTTGATAATGATTAACTTGAGTGTGTGTTCATTGTCTGGAAGTAACCCAGTTAGGGGTTGGACATTCACTGTGAGTCGACAACTTAAGGCACATAGGTGATAGTACAAACAAAAAGTAGGGCATTAACGTGACAGGTATGGGAAGTCATGCTTGATATAAAAACAATTCTGAATTAAAATAAAACAACAACAAAAAATGCACCTTTATTTGTATTTAGCCTCCTTTATTTGGATATCCCTAAATAAAATACAGTGCTATGATTTGCCTTATTAGTAGCCTCTCCCTGTGTGCAATTTAATCTTTGGATGTCACCTTTACCACCATCCCCACTGTAAGACATGGCAGTGGCAGAACCATACTGTGGGAATGCTTTTCTTCAGCAGTGACAGAAAAACTGCTCAGAGTTTATAAAACTTAAATCCAAGCTCATACTGGTGGCCTGAGGCGTAATGGAATGGTTTAAATCAAAACACTTTTGTGTATTAAAATGGCCCAGTCAAAGTCCAGCCCACAGATCCAATTGAGAACCTGAAGACAAATTAACATTTATATAAGTTTTGAATCCTTTCTGACAGATCTTTAGCCACTTTCTAAAGAAGAACAAGCATGAGATGTACCCAGAAAGATGAAACCATGTGAAAGCTAGTTCTTCAAAGCACTAATACATAGAGTATGAACACAAATGCCTAATCATCTTTGTAATAAATACTTTAAAGCCCAGCATCCTGCTCATTCCACTTCATAAATATGTAGCATATCTGTTTGTCTGTCACATAACATTGTAATAAACACTTGTGGTTTAGAACTCGATGAAAAGCTCAAGAGCGCTAAAAAGTTTTTGCAGGTCGACGTTTTGTTTACTTGGGCTACCTGGAGATATTTCCTCGTGATGATGGTGACAACAGATCGATAACCAATGTTTCCCTTCAAACTGAAAGCATGGAGCTGTGAAATCTAAGCAGCCTCATTAACAGCTGAGAGCGGCTCAGCCCGGTCACAGGACGAGAAAAGGCAAAGAGTTTAAGTGTAAGAGCATGACACCCTCTCTTTGGAGCAACCAGACGTGGAATTAACCACATTATAAGAGAACGGAGAGAGAGAATATGAGAGAAGGTTGAGCTAATGATCTGAAGTGTAGAGGAAAATTAGATCAAAGTGAAGCAAGACAAGACTTCAGGAGACAAAAACCAATCAGTTAATGCTTTTTTGGGCTTGTGATTGGATGCTTGAGCTGAAGGGAAATGTCTGTCAAGGAGCACAGCGTTGTCACAAATGTGCTCTAGCCCACTGCACCATCTGTCAGATTGAGCATGCATGACCAACCTGCAACAGAAGACAGTAGACTGAGAAATTAACGTGTCAGTGTCGGATTTATTTGCCTCCCACCGAGCCCAACATTTAGGAGCATCTGCAGAATGTGCAGATGCTCCTAAATGTGCAGCAGCATGAAAGTGGGCTTCACTCAAACATCACAGACCTTGATGGGCCAGAATTTGTGTGCTTTAATCTTTGGGATAGGCAACACTAAGCAAATGGTCAGCGGACAGCTGACGGTCAGCAGAATTAGTGTTTCATCAGCTGCCAAGGTTTTAAGAACGCACATCCACATGCACTCACCAAGGAGAGAGTCAACCCCCAGAGGGCTCAAACAGCTGATTGAAGATATCACATCAGCTGTCAGGCCGACTCCACCGAGAGGCAGAGACAAACTGGGCCAAAACCACGTAATCAAATAACATTACCTAGCACAAGTTACAGATCCTGTAAGGCTGCAAGCACACAGTTGTTGGTAACAACGGCACGTTGCGTTGTAAATTGACAGTTTCTCTACAAGATGGATGGTATAGTTTAAGAGCCTTGATACGTTTCCTTCGAACTGATAATGTATCAATGACCCGAAACAGCACATCCATTTTTACGAGCTCTAAGAGAACAGAAAAGTTTAAAGATTATTTTCCCAATTCGAATACATTTTGAAGTCTACGGACTTTAGGCTGTTAAATTGGATTATTTTATTTTCTCCTGAAGATACGCTCTGCTGACGATCCCATCGGCTGCTGCTTGTCTGTGGGGCGTGTTGACGTCAGGGCTATCCTCTTCAGCAAATGAAAAGTGTGTTCCCTTCAAATTCACAACTGGAACGGCATTTCATTTTTCTTCTCAATCCAGAATCAATCAAAATACCAGAGCTACAGTTATACGGAGAGCCAGACAGGACAAAACCATTTTTCTACCACCACCATGTTTGATAGATGATCTCTTTTGAATTTTCACTTATTCAAATAATCTTGAATAAGATATATTTGCAAACTAAAAAATATGTTGCTGTTTTTTTATAAGCAATATATTGGTGGATTTTAGTTTTATAGTTTTATTTTAAAAAATGATTGAGACAACTGATGGCTCTAAGATTGATTGGGATGCTGACAGGATGTTTCATATCCCCCCAAATGTTTCGGTACAGCTAAACTCAACTTAATGTTTGTTCTCATCACAAGCACACTGATAATTGCCTTTCTCTCTTCCAAGGATTTTGCTATTTCACTGTTGGGTCTGTTTTGTTTCTCTGTCAAATGTCAGTCTATTTCTCCTGCTTCAGCTTGTCCTGGACTGCATCCAGACTTTCAAGCTTAAAAATGACAAACTTAACATTCCAGAACAACTTTGTCTCTCACTGTACTTTCTTCAACAAATAACATCACATTGCCCGGCAGCGCCCTGTTCTACACAACTAATTTGACACACCAGATGGTTTATTTCAACAGTGATCTGGGGGGAAGTGGGCGGAGTCTCTGTCTACTAAAGTCACAATTAAACTTCGACCAAACCAATCATTCAGGATAAAACAGGTCCATTAAATAAAAGAGCCAACACAGCTGATTTTTGCCCCCAAAAGGAGATGCAAGCAGATTTATGGCATTGGTGCACAGCACTGATTTATACTTGATATTAATCAGGCTGACACTTTGTTTCAAATGGACTCAAAAGCAAATAACCTCATTCAATCTTATTCTTTGGCTTGGAAAAGTATTGCCTGAAACTCCTTCACAGCTCGTCACATTACGACTATAAAGTTCTACGTGATTTATTTTTGGTTTCAATCCGATAAACCGACATAAAGTCGTAAAAATAAAGTTGAATGGGAGGAAAATGAAACATGATTTTACATTTTCTATTGATAACAACCTGAAATGCGGAGAGTGCCTGCCCTACTCTGATTTCACGACATAAAATCCGTCCATCTGTCCTCAGAGTTAGGGGAGCTGACTTTAATAAAAGTACAAATAAATGCAGAACAAGAGTCGCTCTGCTTCTGCACACCTGGCTCCAATATTAGCTCATTGGCAGAGCTCTGTAAAGCTTGACTGCAGGCTACTGAGGCAATTTAAACAAAGTGTTCAGGACAAGAAACGACATTTTTCTTTTTGTGTACTTCACAAGTCTTGGGATTATTCAAACTTTTCAAGAAAGTGCTTGGCACCATTTGGTTTCATTTTTTCACCTTTGTTCACAATGTGATGGTTTCCTGTTGTTGTAAACCAGCCTCAAGAGCCTTAAAGACGCTAATAAATAAAATGTATCCTTATTACATGAAGTCTTAAACATTTGCTACAAGTCATGTTGGGACCACAACAAACATGCTGAAGTGATACCAAAAACCCCCCCTTAAAAACAAGTTAAAGGGGTATGAATGCATTTGCTTGGCACTGTCACGTATAAGAACTGGCTCATATTTTAAGTGCAAAGTCTATTTAAACAAGCGAGTGTGGGTTCAACATGGTAAGTTGTTAGAGGTGTTAGAAGAAGTGGTGTAATGTCGAGAGACATGCAGCGATGAACGTGCCCAAGATAAACATCCGGGGTGGATGGATGTCAAAATCCCCCAAATTCAAAGAAGTTCCAAGTCGCTCTACAGAAACAGAAAGAATATCTTTCCAAACAGTAAGAGTAAAAGCTAAACTCAATTTGACTCAGTAAAAAAAAAAAAAAAAAAGTGTAGACGTTTAGTAACTTAAAACCTTTGCCCAAGAAATCGAGCCGCTCCAATCTCACCTCAAGTCCATGCGTGATGTGACGGAAAAGTGCATTTCCGTGGCGTGACTTAACACTCAAAGCAATATTTAAGCTGTCTATGTGATTGCAGTGCAGTAATAAGCACTCATTCACAGCTCGGAGTCAGGAGTATCATCTGACAATCAGCACCTCTGAGCTTCTCCATTCCTAAATGAGGGGAATGGCTGCAGGCCCATTGTCTCTCTATTGTCAGGTCCGCTCCGACACTTACGTCAGCAGACGCCCCTATGCACCGCGCTCAAAGGAGTCTTCTCGCAACGCTCCATGAGTCCTCAGGTCAGAGGTCACCTGTGGCCTCTGGTCTCCAGGACGACAGCCTGGCAGTCCCCCGGACCCTCACCACCTTCTCCCCTCACGCAAATACTAAGAAGCAGCTTTTGTCCCCAAAACTCTCCTGTGCGTTTAAAGGAGAGAAAGTTTCAGCCCAAACACTTGCAGCCAAACTCCTTTCAGGGGGAGAGCAGGGGGCCACCGGAGCTGCAGAGCAACCCGGGCTGAAATCCAGATCTAAATGTTTCATATCTTTCCAAAAATAAACATGTTTGCCACACTTGCTCCATTGTGAAATAACACTGCCCTCCTGACAGCATCACTGTGATTCTGGTTAAAGTCCTGTGCTCCGGTCTGCATGAAGTTACTCAGAACCCCCCAGGGCCCCCAACACCAAGCACCAGCAGCCCCTCTGCTGCAGGGCTGCATGTGGACGGAGATCAGAAAAAACAAAACAACTCACCATGCTCTCTGTGCAGGACATCTCTCTGATCCAACACTGGCACTCTGCTGCAGTTTTCTGTGCTCGCTGCGTGGATTAAATAAAATCAAGACAAACGCAGTCGACGAGGCTGAGCTGGATATTTGCCCCCTCCCTCCTCCCCGGACTTCAGCGGACGGCGACCAGCCTGTGAGGAGAGAGAGAGAGTGAGAGAGAGAGAGAGAGAGAGAGAGAGAGAGAGAGAGAGAGAGAGAGAGAGAGAGAGAGAGAGAGAGAGAGAGAGAGAGAGAGAGAGAGAGAGAGAGACTGTTTCTTTTCCCTCCCGGACGTTTGAAAAGAGGAGAGAGAGGGAGAGAGACAGTCTGGTCTGCACCCCCCGTTGACTGCACGGACAGATAAGAGGAAAAACAGCGACATCTACCGGCCGGGTGAGAGAGTGCGCCACATTTTTCATCGTCTTAATAACAATTTTAATGTAGAGCAACTTGTTTAATTTACGTAAAAATCAGTTTCTACATTGTAATCGATTAAATGAAGATTATCCTGTTATTCTTTTATGATTAAAATATGTCTGCTGACCAGGAGTGGAAACCGAGTTATTACTCGTTGATTTACTTACAATCAGTTACTGTGTGGATAAAACGTTTTCCTTGTTCAGGAAGCAGAAATTCATTTGCTACCTATACAATCTGAGTCTGTGAACGCAACTTTTAAACTACATTTGCCAAATTGTCTTGTATAAATCCTCTTTGGGTCCCAAATCCATCAGATGATCCTAAGCAGTGGAAGAAAAGTCAACTTTGAAATTACATTTTGTGGTTCCAGTCAAATATTTTGATAGAGAGGAGCTTGGTTTCATCTTATTCTCTCTTTATAAATTATATACAGAACATTAATAATCATCTTGTTGTGGGTGTAAATGGTAAATTTAGACAATTGCTTTGTATTAATTGAGAGTGGACATGTACCAAAAGCAAAATAAAGAACATTTTAAAAACTCAAATTTCGAAGTGTATATTTTTGTTAGTAATATATTGAGAAAGTATTATTATCTTATCATATCTTATTTATTTGCATAAATAAGCATCTTAATGCAACAAATACCAATAGTTCATGTACAACAACGTTATGTGCATGTGGAGAACTTGGATAGAACAGAGTAAATTATAAAAACCGCAAAACATTTCAAAAACAATAACTTGCTTTAGACACATATTCTGATGAGTCGCAAGAGGACAAGGATTCCATCAGGCTTTCTTCTGTTCAACTTTTTTATACATAAGAAAGAAGTTAGGAAACGGACACACGTTTCTTTTGGTGTAAAAAGTTTTATTATCCGACTTTGAGCATTTGATATTCATCTTGCATCTATGTTGCATCACCATTTCATCACTCACAGCCTCCGAAGGAGAACATTGCAGTGAATGTTTCTCAGCTTGTGACAAATTCACTTCTCATTCTCTGACAGGGGAAGAGACTGCTCTGACCAACAGCCTCTGTCCCTTCAGTGATGCCGTCCAGCTGGGGATCACACCAGCAGTTTCTTACTTTTGGGGACAACTTTAACAGTGGTGGACACCGACTTGGCTCCCTGAAGGTTCTGGGCAGTGCAGGTGTACGTCCCCTGGTCCACAACCCTCACCTCATCCACCTGGAGGACGGACTGGAACTGCTGCCGAGAAGCTTCTCCGCCCACCGGGATCATCGTCTCCTCCGTGTACAGAGGCCTCCCGACCTGCAACCAGGGCAAAAAAAAAAAAAGTCTCCATTCAGCAACAACTGTGAACAAAGATCCAAACTGAGTTACATACTTATTGGGTCAAATCATGGTGTAATTAATACCAAATGCACTGATAGACGAGTTCTTAGGGTGATCAATCTCATACCTAAAAGTCTTTTCTGTATCTCATCTTGCATGTTTTTATTGTGTAACACAAAGTGAAACGCAAAGACACAGAACATAGAGACCTTAGGACCATGTGATCAGTCATAAATTACCATGCTGTCATAAATCACTGGTGATTGATATCGATCACACTTTATGACCTAACGTGTTGATCTCAGATATTTCAATCACACTTTTCATGACCTTATATTTATGATGGTGTTCTTGAAGAAAATAGTAAATACCCAGATTCCTTTAAATAGAAAATAACGTCACACAGGAATTAGATCAACATGCTTCACCACAGCCATGACAGAGGAATTATGATGGTGCATATCAGACAGACAGTTAATCAATAACAAAACCTTACCACCATTCCACTACTGCCATCTGCCCTTGACCTGTTTTGACAGAAATGCTCTCTTTGCCTCCTTTTCTTTCACATTGTATTGGTCTCGTTGCGACTGCAGATGCACTCATACCAGCAAGCTCTGCACTGGCGGCAACATGAAACCGCTGCATGCTCCTCAGGACATTAAGGCCCTTGGATGTTATAAAAACTTATCTGCTACTGAATGCACAAACTGTTTTGTTCTTTCATGTGTAATCTTATTATTACAAATTTACTTACGTGTGATTTTATTTGGATGTAAAATTAGAGTGATAGCATGTATTTATTTGGAAGTAAACAATGCTAACCTTTGACAGCAATGATTTCAGTCAGGCGATCTGCCCTCCCTTCACACCATTAATTAAATTCATGATATCTGATGGACTCTGTCATCATTTCGCTTTTGCATATGATATATTGTGCCAGTGGATTCATTGGCAGAATATATTTTGCAATGACTTGCAAAAGTCCCATAAAAGTTTTTTTTCTTTAAGTAAGCTTAAAGATTCAATTTACTGTGAATGCAGCCATTTACAGTAAATTGTGGCTTTGATTAATTTGCATAGTAATCTAAAAGTATAAACGGTTAACCCAAAAAAGCAGCATAATTTGTAAAAAAAAAAAAAGTTACATTTTCATATCTATATCCATTTTCTTTCTGCCACGACTTATGCGTAGCATAAGTCGGTGTAAAGTCTTTAGAGCTGATCTCTTGACCTGCTGTCCTGGGTATTCCCAGTTGAACTCTATGAAAACGTCTCGATCTGCCACTGCACTGCAGGTCACACGCAGGTTGCCCCCCACAGCCACCGAGCTTGATGAGGCCTGGACCAATGGAGCAGGAGGAGCCATGGGGTCTAATGGTATAGATAGAAAATGTACCATTATTGCACTCAAAACATGACAAAGCAAGCTTTTCAGTTAGATACAGGAACTCGTTTTAAGTCAATGACCTTAACGTTAATGGAAAAAAATACTAGTTCCTACTACTGAATGTGTTTCCTGATAGTTTCAGGCTACAGTGTTTGATCTAAAAGAGGTAAACGTCGATTCAGAGGAGTAAATAGGTTTGATCTGATCCTGAATGCTGTACCATTGTAGAAATCCTGACCTCTATGCCAGGTCGCTTTGTTTAAAGTTGTTGAACAGACAGAAAATGGGCTGAGTTTTAATGGGTTTGGTGTATCGGATCAGTTTTATGCAGCAATCAAATATCCAATCAAACACTTGTGGACTTTAACTCATCGACAGTGCTCACAGTTGACATAGATGAGGATGTACTTGGTGGAGCTCTGCCTCAGGTTTCCCAGAGTAGCCACACAGTGCAATACCCCGGCGTGATGCGGCCGTGGCCGATGGATGGCGAAGCCCTTCCTGTTGTTGAAGGAGATCTCCGTCCCGTCCACTGACACTTCTCCCGGTGGGAACTCACGGTGCAGAGTGACTTTCGCCTCAGGCGACGTCACCTGGCAGGGGAGGACTGTCGGCCAGTTGCTTCTCAGCTGGATAATTTCATAGTGGCTAGATGACGGGGTGAATAATTCTCGTGGGTCTGGTTTGAACGAGGAGAGAGGTTGATTAGAAGACTAGAAGTTTGTCATTATCCTGAGCGTCTTTTTACCTCAGTAAAAATGTGTTCAGGATGAGCTCAGGTAAAATGAAATACAACTATAGTTGGATTTTGCTCTGTCACAGTTCCAGCTGTATATTTTACAATTTCACGCTCAGTGGTTGGCAGATTTTGCCAAGTTGCTCTTTCCTTCTAAGAAATTTCTCCCACGTATGAAGAGCAAATATACCTTACATGTATATCATCCTGTCATGTGTTTTCTATCTTCTGCTGAGTAAATATATTCAAAGTAAAGGTTGAATGTTTCAGTAACATTTCCTTGTGGGATTCTGGTATTGCAATCAATCTTTTTTTATTTTTTATTTTTAGGTTTTTACACATACTTACCATGTGGAAAAGAAAATGTTTTTCTAATGTACCTGGAAAGAAGATGAAGACTTTGATAGCTTTGTTGTATTCCCTCCTGCAGTCTTTGTCCTCACAATACATGGGATAACAGGCATACTCCCCTGTGTCTGCAACAGTTGTGTTGACTAATGTGAGGAGGCTAAAGCGTTCTTGTTGGACAATCCTGCAGATTGCAAAGAGGCACATAAAGAACAAAGATTTGTGCACATCCCATTTGTGCACATCCCATTTCCTGTCTTCGTCATGCACAATACAGATTTATGAACATCTGTCTTACACAAGTCGTCCTTCATCCTCCTCCACATAAAGGGGGACACTCCACTGCACAGGTTTACCCCTGCACCTCAGGCGCAGTGTGTCTCCTGTCTGCACACTCAGGGTCTCTCCCACTTTCTTGAAAACACCTCTGCCAAGAACCTCAATGCAGAGAGCACATAGTAATATTTAAAATATGACAATTTTGACAGCATAAGAGAGATGCACAACTCCCTCTGTAAGATGTTGCTTCCTACTTGTGTGAGTGATGTCTTGGTCTGAGCTGCTGCTGTAGGTTTGATCTTTGCTTTAACCATCTCAGCTCTTTGTCTTTTATTTGTTGCTTTCTTTGGTGTGGACATTCTTCCATGAGTCGTCTTCTCTTCTTTGGCGTCTTTTATCAGTGCAAAACCCCAGAGTACAGGCAAAATAACAGTTAGCAAAAAGGAGACTGCTTGATGCCATGAACGTGTCGTCAAATCGTTTGCCACCTTTTGAAGTAAGCCAACAGAAATGTTGCACTCATGGTCTTTCCAGAAGCGCACGTACAGCAGTGCAAAAGTGAAGGCATGAATTCACTTACCCGACTCAAAGACTACAGCGCAAACAAGGAGAGCGCTCAGTACCAGCCTCCACTTCGACTCAGATAACTTCAGCAAACTCATCATTGATCTGCTGACGTCCAGAGTGGTGCATAAACTCTTAGTTCAGGTCGTTCAGGACAGAGAAAGCTCTGCACAAACAAGAAGACGACTTGCAGAAGAGACGAGAGTAGACACGCAAAATCACACAAATTCCTTCAACTGAGGGCAGATCAGTAGTACCACAAATTCCTCTGGAGTCCCTGGACCAATAAGGGGCCCAGAGCCTGTTTGTTTAGCTGCGGGACTGGAATAGTGCAGTGGCAGCACAAGCCTGGCCCCCACAGATGCTGCCCAGAAAACTGACTGTGGGTGCAGAGTCAAAAACATTTGGTGACCAATAAACCCTGTGGTGTGGAGTCACACGCTCAGGTAAGATCAAATACAACTACAGTTAGATTTTAAAATAATCATGCAGTCACACTTAAAAATATGCCAATAATGTTTTTGTTGTTGTTGTATTTTTCAAATATAACTCGTGGTTCATGATAGTTCAATCAATGATTCAACCGCTTCAAAACCTCTGACTCATTTTCACCGGCACTTCTATTGTCTTATTTTAGGAATAAGAAATCTGTTGTATTGTAGTCCCATTTTGTTTTCCAGCAACATGAAATTATTATATATATACACTCCTGATCAAAATCTTAAGACCAGTCAAAAAATTGCAAGAATTTGCATTTAGCATTATTGGATCTTAAGAAGGTTCTAAGTAGAGCTTCACAATGTTAAAAGAAGAAATCAGCATAAGAGACAAAAACATTTGAGCGGGGAATTAATTGAAAACTGCATTTATACTCAAACATGATTTTTTCAGCTGATCAAAAGTTTAAGACCATAGCTCAAAAAACCTCCAAAACCCCCCAAAACAGAAATCAAAGTGCCAAAAAAAGGACTCAGTAATGAGTAGCTCCACCATTCTTGTTGATGACGTCAAACAATCGTTTAGGCATGCTTGATGCCAGTGTTTCCAGGAGGCTAGTGTGAACATTGCTCCAAGTGTTGAAAATGGCTTCACGAAGGGCATCCACTGTCTGGAACTGATGTCCATTTTCGTAAACTTCCCTTGCCATTTATCCCCAAATGTTCTCAATTGGGTTTAGATCCGGGGAACATGCAGGATGGTCCAAAATGGTGATGTTATTCTCTTGGAAGAACTGCTTTGTCAGGCGGGCATTGTGAACTGCAGCATTGTCTTGTTGAAAAACCCAATCATTACCACACAGACGAGCCCTCAGTCATGAGGGATGCCTGCTGCAACATCTCCACATAGCCAGCTGCTGTTTGACGCCCCTGCACAACCTGAAGCTCCATTGTTCCATTGAAGGAAAACGCACCCCAAATCATGATGGCGCCCCCACCACTGTGCCGTGTAGAAAACATCTCAGGTGGGATCTCCCTGTCATTCCAGTAACGTTGGAAGCCATCAGGATCATCAAGCCAAAACTTTTTCTCATCAGAGAAGACAACTTTCTTCCACCTTTCAATGTCCCATGTTTGGTGCACCCTTGCAAAGTCCAAACGGGCAATTCTGTGGCGTTGAACAAGACGTGGCCTTTGAAGACGTTTTTTGTTTCTGAAGCCCTTCCCTTGCAGATGCCGTCTGATGGTTATCGGGCTGCAGTCGGCACCAGTAATGGCTTTAATTTGGGTAGAGGATCGTCCCTTGTCTTGATGGACAGCCAATCGGATCCTGCGGTTCAGAGCTGGTGAAATTTTTTGGGTCTACCGCTTGACTTTTTTGTTCCATAACCCTCAGGATCATTTAAAAAATGCAAAATGACTGTCTTACTGCGTCCAACCTCAGCAGCAATGGCACGTTGTGAGAGGCCTTGCTTATGCAGCTCAACAATCCTGCCACGTTCAAAGTCAGTGAATTTTTTTGCTTTTGCCATCTGGAGGTCTTGACAGTGTAAAGACTTCACAGAACATGACATGGAATCCAGATTTTTGCACAGCTTTTGGCTTTTAAAGACTATGGTCTTAAACTTTTGATCAGCTGAAAAAATCATGTTTGAGTGTAAATGCAGTTTTCAGAAAATTCCCTGCTCAAATGTTTTTGTCTCTTGCACTAATATTTTCTTTTAACATTGTGAAGCTCTACTTAGAATCTTCTTAAGATTCAATAGTGCAAAATGCAAATTCTTGCAATTTTTTGACTGGTCTTAAGATTTTGATCAGGAGTGTATATATAAAAAGACACAATCCATTTCTGATGTAGACTGAAAAATATTCATTGTTTGTCTATACAAGAATGGATAAATCCTCTGTTATTTGTTAGTCGTAATTAATTAGGTAAAGTGCTCTGTTAAGAAATGCTTGTTTTTCACATAAAAACTAATATAAGAAAATATTTTCTTCTCCAAATTAATGCTCTCAGCTAACTGCACTGTGATTCCCAGCATGTTATGCATGTTTTGCTGAAGTGTGGATGTGAAAATTGCTTCCTTTGGAACAAAAAACTAAACTAAAACAACAAAAACAGTGGTTCATGTGGCTCTGGCGCTAAAAGGACTTCATCGTTCTCTTTTTATTCTTACGGTTCTGCCAGGGTCATAAAAAATACAGCTTATTGCATATACGGTAATTAGTAATATAATTATCTTTGTTGCAAAACGTTTCGACACTTGGAAATCGTAACAAATTCAAAACATACATTGTGCTGAATGAGGATTTTATATGTTTCCTTGAGGATGACAACTAAGCTGGGATCTAGTGCAGGAAAAAGAAAAGGTTCTTTTGTTCTCTTTTGTTGCCTGTGGCAAAAGAGACATTTCTGAAAAGGTGCTAGAGATATTTATTGTTTTATTCCACTTTCAGTCAACCTGCGACAAAAGTAACTTGTTAAGAATTAAAAGAGGAATAACTTGATTTAGCTCATTAATTAATTCTTTGTCCCGAATTCCTGTGTCTGTGTAAGTGTGCAGAGAGAAAACACCAATCATACAACGTCAGATTTCAGATATTCATAACTTTATCCAAAGGTGAATACAAATACATACAGAATAACAGACACCACTTACACCCAGATATATCAAAAAGCCAACACCCAATGACAAAACAGAATATTACCTGATTCAAAAATGCATTTTTGGGAACCACTCACTCAGCACCAAGCGATTCGAACTTCTGCTGTAAACCAAATCATTTTATAGAATGCGTAATCTCATCATTTAAATATATGCATTAGGAGGTGTGTTCTTTTCCTTTGTGTGGGCTGTCTTAATGTTAATTTTATTACCTCCTGCTCAAGAGCCCCAAAGGCAGATATATGGCCCGGCTCTTCTCGTACCTGCCGCTGTCCAGTTTGATATACGAGTGCAGCTGCAGCGCTATCTCTGCCTCAAACTGTTTTTCACAAAAAAGTAGTTTGTATTTTAACCAAGCTTGCACACAATGTAATGCTAAATAATGACTATAAGTTTGGATCTAATAAGTAACTATTTAAAAACATGCTTACAAAATATAGTTAATTCTAATATAGATAAAATTATTTATAAAAAGTTTTAAGATACTAGTGAACTTTTGAACCATGCTCAGGAATTTGTTAATTGCCTGGCATACAGGCTCCTTATCTAGAGATCCAAGGAGTCTAGGCCTGTGTTTTCTGTTTTTTCTGTCTGATCCTCCTTTTAAGAATTTATCTGCCTTTCAGAGATTGAGCCGTTGTTTTTAGTTTCATCTAAATTTATATGAACCTAGAATGTACTTTAACTTTCTATGTTATATTTTATATGTGTCAAAGCTATCCTGTGCAGTATTGTGCTAACTTAAAATTCTATGTCAACAAACTCCAGGTTACAATTAAATGTTGATTTTGTTTTTCTTTTCCTTTTTTAAATTAAGGAATACATTTACAGAATTTGAGCAAATATGCAAAATGTTCATATTTACATGTAAAAAGGAAACTTGGGGACTCGGGAGGAGCACTTGGGATAGAGGCTGCCGGAGCAGCGGCACGAGGAGCAGAGTCCACGGAGGCCGGAGCGGAATCCGGAGGAGCAGGAGCCGAAGCCGGAGCGGAATCCGGCGGAGCAGGAGCCGAAGCCGGAGCGGAATCCGGCGGAGCAGGAGCCGAAGCCGGAGCGGGGTCCGGCGGAGCAGGAGCCGAAGCCGGAGCGGGGTCCGGCGGAGCAGGAGCGGCAGCCGGAGCGGGGTCCGGCGGAGCAGGAGCGGAAGCCGGAGCGGGGTCCGGCGGAGCAGGAGCGGCAGCCGGAGCGGGGTCCGGCGGAGCAGGAGCGGCAGCCGGAGCGGGGTCCGGCGGAGCAGGAGCGGCAGCCGGAGCGGGGTCCGGCGGAGCAGGAGCGGCAGCCGGAGCGGGGTCCGGCGGAGCAGGAGCGGCAGCCGGAGCGGGGTCCGGCGGAGCAGGAGCGGCAGCCGGAGCGGGGTCCGGCGGAGCAGGAGCGGCAGCCGGAGCGGGGTCCGGCGGAGCAGGAGCGGCAGCCGGAGCGGGGTCCGGCGGAGCAGGAGCGGCAGCCGGAGCGGGGTCCGGCGGAGCAGGAGCGGCAGCCGGAGCGGGGTCCGGCGGAGCAGGAGCGGCAGCCGGAGCGGGGTCCGGCGGAGCAGGAGCGGCAGCCGGAGCGGGGTCCGGCGGAGCAGGAGCGGCAGCCGGAGCGGGGTCCGGCGGAGCAGGAGCGGCACGAGGAACAGACGCCGGCGGAGCGGCACGAGGAGCTGAGGATGGAGCTGGGGCTGGGCTGGCGGAGCGGAAGTCCGGCTTGGAAGACCGAGGCTTTGCAGTCATGGCAGAGAAGGCTGTCCGGCGCACCTTCTCTGCCTCCCGCTGAAACTCCACCAGGACTGGGTGCTGGAGACGTGGAACCCAGTAGTCCAGCAAAAGCCCTAGGCGTATGGCGAACCCAGGCCGTCTCAGGGCGAAAGTGGACGTACTCCTTGACTCTTCATACTCGCGGATCGTTCGGAGTAGCTCTTCTATACCGTCTGGGTCCATGATGTTAGTCAGCGCGCCTCACCGTATTTTCTGGTCGGGTCCTTCTGTCATGAAATGGTGGTGGTGAGGCAGACGCTGGAGACCCAGGTAGGTGAATGGTGAGTAATTTAATGAAAATAATCCACAAAAACACAGTCAACAGAGTCCGCGGCCAGGCAGCACGGCTGAGCGGAAACCAGGGCTCACGCCGGTAGCAACTG